CGTTTGTTACCGCTCGCACGACGCTGACCAATCATTTGTCATTCATCTTCACGAAGTGCTTCTTTCCTTAGTATCTTCCCATCGCCAAGCGTCCATTCTTTTGTTCGGGGACTTTAATCTTCCGGCAATAAACTGGTCGAATCTCGCTGCGACAGCAGCTAGGCATAACACGGAAGCTGAGTTTGTGAACACATGCCTTACTTTTGGTTTAACACAGATTGTTAATACCCCGACTAGACAGACTGACAACACTTCCACGATCCTCGACCTTGTGCTTTCTTCAAACCCCGATAGCGTTACGTCCATTAACTATCATCCCGGGCTATCTGACCACTCCATTATCCACGTTTCAGTTCAAGGCCATGTGCCAGCCCAGCCGCGAATAAAAAATACGATAACGCTGTACGATGAAGGCGATTACTGTAGCATGAATACCGACCTTATAACTTTTTATGAAGAATTTTTGCCTAACTTTTTTGATCGTTCTGTTGACAGTAACTGGTTACTTTGATAATGCACTTTGATAGAAAAATACGTTCCCACTATTTCTGTAACTGAATGACCAGCTAACCTTTGGTTTATTAATTCACTCAAACGCCTCAAGAACAAAAAGAAACGCCAATATAAAACAGCAAAGCTCGAAAATAGTGCTAGTGCTTGGGATAGGTATCACCAATCTGAGAAACTTTACCTCTCGCTTTTGGCTAAAGCCAAACGGTCTTTCTATAACATGTCCCTACTTAGTATGCTACAGAATAACCCTAAACAGTTCTGGAAAATAATTAACCCGAAGCATTCAAAACCGGTCAGCTTGCGTGACGAACGCAACTGTCCTATTCCAGCTTTTGATGTTGCCCAGAAATTAAACTGTGCCTTTGGCTCCGCGTTCACCAAAGAACCCGATATAGGATTACCCAATTTTCCTCTTTACGATCGCCCCATCATGCCCGGAATTACATATGAATCTAATGACATAATGAAACTGATTGAATCACTGAAACTCACTTCATCATCAGGCGTGGACGGCATCAATTCAAAGATCCTAAAGAATACTAAACACATATCTAGTGCAATACTTTCGCTCATTTTCCAGCAATCACTATCATCTGGAGTGGTCCCAGAGGACTGGACGGTGGGAAAGATTATTCCAGTACCAAAAAAGGGTAATCCATCAGCTTAGAGTAGTTACCGTCCGATCTTACTCATCAGCATACCGTGTAAATTAATGGCAGCATACCGTGTAAATTAATGGAACATGTTATTCATTCCCACGTAACAAAATTCCTAATGTCCCAACACTTTTTCCACCCTAATACGTGGCTTCCTAAAAGGACTCTCGTGTAACACTCGGTTAGCTTTATTTATTAACGACGTCAGTTCAGCCTCTATAAAAATGTTCCTGTAGATTCCCTATTTCTTGATTTTGAGAAGGCATTTGACAAAGTTCCACATAACAGATTATTTCTGAAGCTATCTCGTCTATACCTTGATCACGCTGTATTGACTTGGTTACAAAATTTTTTAACCAAGCGTAAGCAGTTTGTATTCGCTAACTCACACTCTTCTAGTTTATCTCCCGTTCTCTCAGGAGTGCCTCAAGGAACAGTGGAACAGTTTTAGGGCCCTTACTATTTCTAGTTTACATTAATTACTTGCCAAATAATATTCAATCTAACATACGTCTATTTGCTGACGATTGCATCTTATATCGTCCCATTTAAACTTGTAACAAGAAATTAATTATCCAGCGTGACCTTAGTATTATTAAGATTGGTGTGATATATGGCTAATGTCTTTTAATGTCTCCAAAACCTCATTACTGTCTTTTCACTGCAGAACGAAATACGTCTCGCATCGCTACGTAATTGGCAGTTCTAACGTTTCATCTGTTAAATCCTATAAATATCTGGGTGTTTCTTAACCCAGGATCTGACTTGGTCAACTCACATTTCGAACGTGACCAAAGATGCTAATTGCGTCCTTGGGTATCTGCGCCGTAATTTACATTTTTGTTCTTCACCCGTCAAATTGCTCGCATATCAAACATTGGTCCGACTTAAACTTGAGTAAGCATGTGCGATCTGAGATCCCCACCTCTCCAATTTATCTAATACACTTGAATCTGTGCAAAACCGTGCGGCAAGGTTTACTTATTCAGCCTACTCTTACCACACAAGCGTCACTAAACTAAAAAGCCAAGCTAATCTTCCTCTACTCATAACAAGGAGTAAAGTTAAGCGGCTGTGCTTGTTTCATAAGTTTTATCATTCACGCATTGCTACGACAGTCACTGAAGAAGTTCATCGTCACTCTGACCGCATCAACCACCCACTGGCTGTTTAGCCAGGAAAGAACCTCATCTCTGCCCATCGGCATTCTTTTTTTATCGAAACAGCAAAAGACTGGAATGATCTGCCAACCGACACTTTTGTCATCTCCAGCCCCACCCATTTTCATGAAACAATTGAAGACATTATGTACTAAAACTCTTTACCGACCACCAATGACATTGTTCACAATAAATGCCTACCCCTCATGTAAAACCCCTGAATGGGGGCCTTCGAGGTATAATAAATAAATAAATAAAAGTGTTTTGTTCCCAGCTGGAAGTCTGGTTTTGGCAAAGAGTGAGAGAAGATTCTGTGCTTTGCGGCCCCATCTGATCCACTGCTACTGGATCAGTGGCATCAAAAAGTACCCGTGAGTATACGACCCCTGAAATTGAAGGAAAACAAATGGGCTCGACACTTCGAGAAGCACCTCATGTTTGATAGAACTTCAGCGAGCGCAAAGGAAACGTTCTACTAGACGTAAAGAAAGTGCCTCTCCTTCGAAAAAGAGCAACTTGTTCCATCTTTGGGGTAAGCGTGGCTCAACTCAATGACGCTGAATATCAGGAGGAACCAACAGAGACCAGTGCCTAAGAGCAAGAGGACATCAATTTGTCTACAACCGCATAAAGAGTGGGCGCCTTTGTTTGCCCAGGTAATGAAAAATCTCAGCCTTGCCTACGAGAGGACTCCTTGAATTGATCGCTTGGCAAGGATCTAAGAAAAGACAATAGCTTGAGTGCACCTTCCAACAAACAATGTGCGGCAGAAAGCGGTACAAGCAGCTCTATTGCTATAAGCGACAACAGAGACTCTCTGTGCCCAGATCGAAGCTCAATTTTTACAATGTTATCTCGTGTATCAAGTTCATGTATATATTATGTTTACGTACGCTGTAGTGGCATTGTATAATTTTGTGTGGTCTATGTCAGGCATTTGGCCTGTTTCAAATAAAAGAAGTAAAGCGATACGTTTGGGTTATTTCTTCTACTAACGTCGATCCGCAAACTTTACAGGAAAGGATTGGTCGCAGACGTAAGGCATGCCCGGAGCAGACGACAATGCGGAAAGTTGAGCAGACCCATGAACGCGGTCAAGCACAAGTCTGTGCCATTGGCAATGACGGACGAAGCCCCCGCCTGCGACTCTGCTCGAGGGCAGCGCCTCTCCTCCACCGCTTTCCTCCATTCGCAGCGCCACCTGGCAGACGAACCGCAATGCATGAAGTGGCATTGCAAGATGCGTCTCTTCCAAATGAGCGAAGTCGGCGCTCCTCTCTTATCTTACTTCGTGGGCATTATACATTTGCCGTCGAATATTCCAGCCTTATCACTGATCGTCGCGCTAGAGCTAGAACAGTCTCGAGTGTACGTATCTTGCACGCAATATTAACAGAACAAACTACAACAATCGCAAATTTTTTCAAACAATGAGGCGCAGTTTCTGCTCAGCATTCCCCACAGGCTTTGTGGCTGATAAACGAATGAAACGAGAGTGAAAATAAGGAACGCATGTGGCAATAAACATGGAGTTTTATTAGAAGGTAAACAGATGTCAGAAAAAAAACCAGCCAGCTCCATTTTGCAAACGCTGTCAAAACAGCAAAGCTTATGCCCGACCTTCATCAGGGTATGTCGTACTTCTATATTTTTCCACACTTCCCTTTGTTGGCACTTAGCTTTGGCCTTCTTTGCACGAGCATCGCAGTTGGCTCAGCCACAACATGCCCATTCTCGTGTCAGTGAGAGCCGAAACATACATCAGGGGGCTCCGTCAATGGGAGAGTGAGAAATGTTCGCCATCTTGAAAGCATGAGCATCTGAACACTGCGCTGACACTCTATGTTACGCTCCACTGCACCTCGCCGTCAACCCAGCTGGGCATGTTTCTCCAAGGTTCACCCCTCGGCATTCTCTACACTCGCCTCTCTCAGCATAGCCCATCCTTCACCTTGCAACTAATGCTAATGCTCGCCACAATAAGAGGCCACATGATCAGTTTCACGCTGACCTTGGACATAAAAGCCTTGACCAAAAACAGCTTCGCTGCTAAAAATCTTGTTATAGTAGGTCCTGCACAATAAGCAGTTACATTATAAGTGGTCTGTGCTATTTTCTGAAAACTCAAGTGTCATTTATTTCCTGCCATCAGTTTATTAACAGATGAAAGGCCAATGTCAGAAGTTTTCATTTTAAATTGTCCTTCTGAAATCTCCGATGGCGACATTACAGATTTCAGTACTTTTCACCTTTTGGTCACATTACTCAATATTTGCTGAAACTTGATATGTTATGTCTCTGACTTACTCAGAAGACAACAAAGCTTATTTTTCATAATTAGGAACTAGGTAGGCCGTATCAGACGCCATCAAAGTAGGTGACTGTTGTGGGAGCTTCAGGATGAGGTACCCAGTTCAATTTTTTTTTTTATTTGAGCGCTTTCTCACTTCACGAGCATCCACTTGCAGCAAGTATGGCTTTTTTGGTACTGTATTATGAAAGAGTAATTTACTGATATGAAAAAAAAAATTTTTTTCTCTTAGGTATCTCTTTAAAAAGCAAGCTCATAATGTCATGCTCAGCTTGTCTAACCAGAAAGAAAGACGAGTAATGGGGCCTAAAAAAGGTGCATCACCTATTACAACCCATCAACAATCCACATTTTACTCACCACAAGCCATAAATACCAGACGTATGTTGACGCAAGTGAAAGTGTTTGTATGCAGGCAGTCAAGATGATCAAGTCTTTCAGATGCCTTACGCAAGAAGAGAAAAGAAAAACAAAACAAAAACTATGTTAAAGCACGAGATGATAAATAGCAGAGCAACAAATTATCAGACAACTGCAAAATGCATGTCAATGATACACAGTACACCAATACGAAAGGTAACAACAGATCTCCCTCTGTTCCTGCACAGAAATAACTTTCCACCAGTTGTTTTCATCAACAATAGAGCTATACTGACTATTCTAAATCAGCCTGCAGGTAATGCAGATAGCACAAATTATTTGAACCCTAAGGAACAAATAAAACTATACAAGTATCTAGCAGTTACTGAGTCAATTCACAATACTTGCCACGATTGTAAGCACACCTGAATTGAACACACACACATTTTCTCAGTCCTAAGAAGAAAATTAACATAAATAAAACACTGAACCATCTAAATTATGTAGAAATTAATTTCATTGATTCTTAGCAAGAGACACACTACAGCCATCAGATTTTGACAACCATAAAGCCACACCCCTAGTAAATAATACACGTGCACTTTTCCATGATGCCAAGCCCCTGTAACATGACCTGTCACAGCCGTCTGACACATTGAAAGTAACATTTCATATTTTCCTCAAGCAGAACGAACGTTCCATTCTTGATCACTACCTTATGACACCAATGGCGGCAACAGGCAGGCTCCCAGGAGGTTACGAGGACTTATGGGGAATGCAGTTCTAGTTTGTTTTGTATTGGATTCCACAAGGTGGAGAATTTCAGATAAATATTAAAGGGGGGGGGGGGGGGCAGAACACAGAATTCGGTATGCACCGCAATAACCGATTGTGAGCTACCATCTTTTCAGTAATATTTTCCTTGAGCACGTCCACAAGAGGTTATTTCAATGGGAACATTTGCGTGTTTAAGGGTACGAACACTCTGCCACGCGCCGCTCACCGATTGCGAGACGCCGCTTTTCTATCTTTCTCCCACCGAGCATCGTGGAATTTTTGCCGCCGACCGAATCGCTCGTTGGGCCACTTTTGTCACTGCCGCCGGCTTCCGTGCAAACAAACCACCAATGAGCGCCTGCTTACCCTCCCCTTTTCCTCACATCGGCGGCGCCTTCTCGCCCATGCCTTTTTTTTTCTCTATCTGTCGCAGAGAAGACAAGCCGCGAGCCGGCAGCTAGCAGGCGGGCGCGAGCGCCTCGGCACGTCTATTCTTGTCTCGCTTTTCTCGCGGCACCGCCATGCGGACAGCATGCTTCTGGCTGCCGAGTTGAGGCGCCGACGGGCGGGACACCGCCGCGGTATGCTTCCCGCCAGTGTGCCCGTACCTTAACACGTCCACTACACATTAAGCTTTGTGAAGTCAGACAATGCTGCTACTAGAACCACTACCCTAGGCAGCATTAGGGTCATGCATGAGTACATCCAAGTTCGGATTATCTGATGAAGGCTAATTTCTGTAATAAAATTACAAATGCTAGGTCTCACAGATGAGTATGTACTGAAGCAAAGAACTTTAGTCATGATCCAATAGACTTAAAAATCGTAGGCTGATTATGAACGGAATTAAAGAAAGTTCAAACTTCCCTTTTATAGTTTTACATGTTCTTTGGCATTGCCACCATGCACTATCACAAGATATGCAAGATAGCCAAGATATTTTTTGCGTGTTGATAAGGAAAAAGAAAAGACCTGGTTATATAACGCTGCATTTGTTTCTTTGTAGTGGGGGCTGATGTCAGGAGGTGCAAATTTGCCAATGGCAGTCATTTTTTACTAGCATTTATAGCACAGTTATGCTATATTGCTGACAGATATGTATCAGTACTAAGGTCTCAATGCACAGCCAAGAACACATTTTCTACTGCAGTGGTTCTCAACCATGACCCCTTGTTGAACGTTGGATGAGATGTGGGACCCCTTACAGCGAGAGAAAAGTTTGGCAGGGGGTCATAAATTAATGCAACATGCAGCACAATAGGTGCCTTTTATTTCTTTTTGGTAAAAAATGGTCAATCTAAAGTGCTAACGCTAATTCGGCTTAAACAGCCAGTCAATAAGTTGCGCAGTCTGCAGCCACATTCACCTTTTTTTCCTTGTTTCTTCTTTCTTTTATTATTATTATTTTTTTGTTGCAAAGGTTGCTCTTCAAACATGCAATCCTAGAAAAAGCATCCTAGCGTGCATATGTCATAGAAAACTGTAACAAAACCTTTACAGCTATCTGATGAAAAAGGAGACACATAAGCCAGCTGAAGATGTTATGTGATGAGCCATACAAAAAAATCAGACAGGGCTGCTGTTAGATAACATACTACGGCTCCGAAAATTCCCGACATATATACAGTCGAGCCCACATATAATGGCCCCACTTAAGCTAAACTTTCACTTAAAATTAACAATATCCACATGACTGTGAAAATATACACTGTTTTAATGACACAAAATCGCACTTAAAACGAACGTCTCCGAGCGCCGCCGATCGGTTACAGCGAACGGAGTCAGTGCTTTGCCGACTTCCCGGGCAACCACTTTCGACCACCGATCAGGCATCGGCGAGGTGCCCATAGATTCTTATTGTTAAACGCCGACCCTGCCTCCGTGCCCCTCTAATTGTCGCTCTCCCCGACTGCTTTTTGTTAGGCACCCCTCCGCCCTTTGTCCCCCCGCTACTCCCAGCACCCTGCATCGCCAGACGCGGTCTGTGTTTTCACACTGCGCGTTAGGTGCCGCATCACGGAGCACTTGCTCATAGCTGTTGATTACCTGGCAGCCGACTTGCCACTTCGGGCGTCCCGGTATTCAGCTGTGAATATGGTGAATATTTCGTGGGCGGAAGTGACGGCTACATGCGCGCGAAACTGTTTTCGCGAGCCCGACTTCGTCAGCGTCGGGCCCAATGCCGCGCCTGAAGCTTCCAAACAGGACCACTGCGGCGGCAATTTGTGGCAGCGCGCCATCGACTCCGACATGGGAGAGCGGGTGGGACATCTGTTGCGATAGTTTGATTACGGCCGATGATGATGCCGACACTACGGAACCGTGCACGGATTAGGGCATTGTGAATGAAGTACGCCGCAAGAGCGTTTTTGGAGGAATCGGGTTGCCAGATTGACAAAACTTTGAAGCCAGTGCCTCCGCATGCAGCTTATGCCACGGGCCTCGGCAAAGAGCACGCTGCCGTTTGAAATTAACTGGAGACCACTTTTATCGCTTATGCTCTTCGAAACACGTGCACCAGGAACATTTTCTGGCAAAAAAAAAAAGTTGTGTTTTCACTTGCCACTTCTTTAAAAGCAGGGTTTCATTTAGTACGAACTTCGGGATACAGCGAACAAATACCCCGTCAGGCTCAGGTTCGTTATAAGCGGGCTCGACTGTATATATTTTTTCTAGGGCGGGTATCATAGACACCCCCAAAAAAGGTTTTGCACACTCGTTGTGGCCCGCAGACTCCCTACATTTGAGAACTGGTGTTCTATGGTATCAAACAGGCTTCTTTTTTAAGATAACGCCACAAAGCTGCTTGTCTTTTTCAGTGAAGAAAAGTGTAAATTTAAGGGCTCGTTTTTCGTTAGACACAATATCAATGAGAACCAACAGACAATAGTGCAGAGAAAGTATAGGGGATGTTATAAATAATTGCAATATAAATGTGAGAAAAGAAAAGTGGACGAAAAGATAGCTTGCCATTCGCAGGATCCGAACCTGCGACTTTCGAATAAGGCGTCCGATGCTCTAGAGTTGATCTAGCTAAGTGGTGGTCATCCCCTATCCACTCTATGGGGTATATGCGTGTACCTAAAAATAGGAGTGTCAGGCAGTGCCACCTGTTGCCATCCCAGCAAGTGTGGAACACTCTTTCTTGCATGTTTGACAACCCGTAGTGCATGATCTTATTACTTGATGGCATCTGACCAATTATACTTCGCATACCACCCCAAGGGCATCAAGTCTGCCAGAACGAGACCCTCAGTATAAATGACGGTAAGTGTAGTAAATTTAAAGGGGCCCCGCAACACTTTTTGAGCATGGTAAGAAAACACTGCCAATCGGTAGTAAAGGCCCGACAACGCGCGAGCCAAATATTATAGCGCAGAACACGGCCTGGAATTCACAATAAATCATCAAAGTCAGCTAAAAATTGCTTTCTCTTCCCTCAACAAATGACAGAAGAACCTCAAAAATCCCTCGTAGGAGGCCATCTATCAGTCATTGGCTGATCTGAACATGGGGCACTTGGTCATTACAGGGAGGCTGCGACTTGTCCACGTGTGCACGCGCGATCGCACTGAAAAAGCCGTGTATTCGAAGAAAAAAAAAGAGAAAAAGTGCTCAAGGTCACGAGATGTACGTGACCTATTTTCTTTGCCCCTGCCACCCCTTCCTGCTTAGCTTTCGGCTCTTTCACCAGGACAAGGAAGAAAGAATGCGATTACAGCGTGCGACAAATCTTTGTAACTCCACTCATACTGGTCAGATTCTTAAAATGTTTGCAACGTGGAATTCGGTGCGCCATAAGCTCTTTTAGTGAATCCATTACATGGTTACTTCATTAAGTACTTCGGCACCTCGTTAAGGGCACATATATACCCTATAAAGAGGACGGGGGGATGACTGCCACCGCAGCTCAGTGGTAGAGCATAGGACGCATTATTTGGAGGTCGCAGGTTCCGATCTTGATTGTGGAAATTTATCTTTTTGTCCACTTTTCTTTTTTCACATTCACATTACAATTACTTCTTATAACAATCCCTGTACTTTTTCTGGCATAATTGTCTGTTAGTTCTCACTAATATTGTGTCTAACAAAAAACGAGCCCTTAAATTTATATGATTTTTGAAGTTCACATGCCCGATCCAGTGCTATACGACGCACCTCGCAACATCGATGTCATACAAAGCGACCCCAAAAGCATCCACAAGCTTTCGCGACATCACCACTGCAGCCAAACTAAGAGGTGCACAGCTAAATCATGACATGATAGTTGCCTCTGCACTTGTGCCAGGAAGCTACTGTTTGGCGACTGTTCGCAAGTCCGAGGCGAATGTGTGGTAGCCTAAAAGAAGTCTTTGCCACTAGGTCATGATGATGATGACTGTCATGGCGAGGACATCGTACTGCACATGCAACATGCAAAAGACCATGCAGACCCCATGGAAGTGTGGGAATTCTGTGTGCCCTTTCATATGCTAGATGATGTTAATTGCACACAGCGGCTTGTCTTTTTTGTAGCTCTCCGAAACTAAAACCGAGACTGGCGGTAACAGACTGCAATTATCTGTGTTGCAATGCAGGAATGTGTGCCGTGTTATGACTAAGTGGCCTTAAGCAACATACTGCAGAAAAAAAACAAAATTTTTTTGTCAGTACCTTTAACGTGCACCTGAATTTCAGTTAGTACATGGGCCTCTAGCAGTACACCTATATCAAACTATGGCCTCGCAGTTGGGACACAATCCCGTAACCTTCGGGTCGGCAGTTGGGCACCCTAACCACTACACCACAGCGGATAGTTTCAAATATTTGCACACCATTACTCCGAATCTAGGTCTGAATTGTGTCCGATACCTACAGAAAACAGAACTTAAAGATAGGTGAAGAATCCACAATAGATATGTAGCAGTATATGTGTGTATACATATACGTACTCGCCCATGCCAGCCTGTGCCATGTTGAGGTCCAAGCCACCATCCAAGAGTTGGCCAGTTTCTGAATAAGATGCCCGAGCCATGTACCGCATTGTTTGGATGCATCCACCGTAGACAAGAACAGAGAAGAGGAACAGCAGCTACAAACGGTAAAAAAAAAACTGTCAGACAATGTGATCAGAGTGTGAGAGAAATAGAGAAGAAAGGCAGGGAGGTTAACCAAACTTGGCTTGGTAGGCTGCCCTGCAATGTGATCAGCTTATTATTATATATGTTTCCAAACGCCCCATGAAGAACACTCCTCCAGAGGCAACATTCAGTGCCTTCATAAAAAGCAGGAACTTCAATTCAGCAAAGAAGCCACCTGCTTCATGAGCTATTGAAATGTCAGAAACTGACGGCATATTCAGGAAAGTCCGCATGCACATAAAATTTCTCCCATTCCACACAGAGCAAATAACTCTCTCTGCATCAATGCCTGCAAACCACGGAAATCTACCTATGAAAGTGAACGAGGAATGCGCAAATAGTAATTTTTGAGAGTGAAGTAAATACGAATAGAACACAAGTGCTTGAACCGAAACACATTGATTATTTAATACTTTTCATATAATGAACAGCCATTTTTAAGAATCATATCTCATTATGTTCACACGATGGCATTAGCAAGTTTCCCTTATATAACACATGTCATGAAGCGTAATTGGCTGAAAACAGAGTATTGGGAATAAATAAGTAGTTTTTTGACACACAACTCGCTTCGAAGAGTGAAAATGGTACATGTATAGCCAGAAAAGATGGGTTCCCTGACTGACATTGCCACATAAGTTCTCGTGCTTCATGCCCAATATTGTGGCCAGAGTCAAACTTATTGTGTTTCGCTCCAATGCGTGTTTTATCTGGCACAGCTGATGTTTTAACACACACTAACACTATTTAAAAGTAACTGCATTTATGAATATACAGTTGCCATTCAAAGAAAAATTGAATAAGACAACACACTACTCATTAACTGAAGCTTTGAATAGCTGCAATCCAATAAAGGGGTACTGACCCCTTTCTCCAGAGGAAAGTTTACCCTAGCACACAAATCTACTATATACAGAGGCGGCCGTGAGTTAGTGTGATGCTCAGCAAATGCTGATATTTCATTTTGATATTAAAGTCGAATTTCTTCCAGCACGCCTACCGACATCAACACTAACTTGACGTCAGACTACAGTACTAATTTTGGTGACATCACGCAACAGTCTGGCTAGCTATGATGACATCAGGCACCAAAAAACAAAAAATGGCAGATTGTACATCGCATTCTCGATCGTCTGCTCAAGCTGTGCGCTCACTGTCATGCAGCTTACCTGTGAAGCAAGCTCGTGAAGTCTTGAATAGTGTACGTGCATGCGAATACAAAATATATGCTTATCAAAGGGCAAGGGAATCGTTTGATTTCGAATATGTCATCATGGCCCCAATATTTTGCCCTGTCAAGTCTTGTGCCAGTGAAACGGAGAACAATAGGTGCAAGTTCCACGTATTCCCATCCGATCTGGCGCTGAAACAAGCGCGGGCTGACTTCGCGTGTCGCGGCCAAGGCGGAGACTGGATGACAACCAAGCGTAGTTTATTCTGTTCGCTGCACTTCACCCCAGATGAGTACACGCGCAACATGCAGTTGCTGACCGACTTCACATTGTCGGCAAAGAACCTGTGCCATAAAAATGATGCCAACCCAACGTTGTGCCCCCTGGCCACGACAGTTGCCACAGGTGCGGCGCGTAACAGACGACCGAAAAAGCAATGCGCAGACGAAGATAAGTCACGAAAACAGCACATAATATCGCCTGGTGGCGCTGCTCATACCATGTCGTGTCGCCACGGTACAGTAAGAACCAAAACTAGCTTTTAGAATCATGCTGTAATTAATTTTTCAGGGTGCACTCACGTTTACCGGTACATTTCCTACACTCTCGGGGACTTGGCCTATCATTTGACGCAAAAAAAATGATAAGTGAAAATTTTAGTGTCAGTACCCCTTTAAATAAAATGCTACATTCAGCTAGGCCAATTTTATAAAAGCACAAAAATTATAGGCCTTTTGTTTATTACATATTAAATCAGCATTTAATACTTACCGTGTGAGACAATGTAATAGAATCCCTCCACAACATCATGTGTGCGATGAAATGGACAATCTGTTGAGGAATCATCACATAACATTATTACCAATTTGAAAACACTGTTCATCAATGGAATTACATATTCAGGGAAAGAGATATATAAATGCATACACACTGCCCTGGCATCCGGTTCATCAAAAAAACAAACAATAAACAAGCTTTTTGAATATTAAATGAACTATACTTATAATGACATCACCCGTCAGTATCTTTTAACATTTTGCCAACTTTTTTTGACAAAACTGATAAGCTTGATTATAGCTGCAGTCAAACTTTGGCATATATAATGGAAGATGCATCATTATAACTTCAAATTTTCAGTGATATGTAATGTGAAACTTCCAGAAAGGGTCAGTTGCACTATTATTTAAATGAGTGTTTCTGCTCAGCCATGAAGGAAATTTTTAGTTTGATCTTCTGCAGAAGCTTTGGTTAGCAGTAAACGTGCGCACTACCTCACTCCAACACTGCGTCCCAGCGACTGACGCTATTGGTAGGCGGGAAAAATTAACGCAAGGGCACGAAGATTCAAGGTCAGCTGATGTAAGCGTGCTTGTTTCAAATCTATCAGGTGCTTGCAAGAACAATAATAATAGGGTCAGATACTTTTCTAACAGGCCTTGTATTCATCAAGTTGCGTTTTATTTTTGCGAGAATGGCCTAACTTTATTTAACGAACAAGAGTCTGCACTGCAAAGAACACTGGGTAGGTATGAGATAAACTCATACCTACCCATACCTTTGCATCTCAAAGCTTTTTATTTATTTAAACTGTTATATTTCTACATCATTAATATACTGCTTAACTGTCCAGAAAGTTCCAACATATTCAAGAGCACAATACAGGCTACTGTAATGAAGTAAAAAAAAAGCAAATAAAAGATACCTACTAATGCTGCAATTGCCATAATGCTGTAGAACTTTATGGTTTGCTTATTCTCTTCTACTATCTGCTTTTGTCCTTTAGTTCCTTGCTTTCCTTTTTGTGGCTGCAAGTGATAAAATACAGTTAGACAAGGCACGAACTGAAACCATGAGCACTACTTGAAATGCAAGAGTACAACTTTAAAATATACCTTTGGTGGCAATGCACAATCACATCAGAGGTTGACAAACCTTCTCCGTGAATCAGTTTGCATTCATAAAATTAGCGTGCAGCCCCTCTTTCCAGAATGCACCCTGAACATGCCGAGTGAGAACTTACATTTTTTTTTTCAATCCCTCTGCATAAAATGCAAGTTTCTGAATATATATGGTGTGCCTCAATGACAAAAATAACAGTTCCCTTGTGATAATGACAAAGCCAACACACTTCAGGCCGAAATAACTTTATGTTGCCCTGGCTGTTACCACGCATACGAAAGTGTTCGATATAACTAAGCCAGCAGCACGAAACAAGATGTTATCAAGTAGAAAGAACTGCAGCATTAAATGTCACGATTTCAAACGCAAGAATACTAAACCTGCTTGGCGTGCTTTGTACATGCTAGCTTGAACTCAACAGCAGATCGTGTTAAGATTAATGCATATGGCGAGACGCAAAATCCAAACTTGTGCACTTACTGCCTAGTTCTTGAGCGCGTTCCTATTCCACAAGCTCTCGCCATATTTAATAAAAGGTCCATTTGACAACAAGGCTTCTGACAAACGATTTGGTGGTGGAATACGCCGCGCGTAAGTTCACTCCTGCCTGTTTGTTGAGCAATTGAATATTACGAGAGGAAAAAACTGGGGAAGCAGGGATTTAAAGTTTTGATTAAATGGTTTCATGACGTGGAACGTCTGTTCTAAAACATTGAGCTTCTGCGAAAGCGCTGGCCCTCGGTACTGAGGACCGGTAGCTCTTGTTTCGAAAGGCCTGCTGCCACCTCGGCGCGAATCGTCGCGTGTTACTAGCGTCTCGGTTAACGGAAACAAACAAGCAAAGCAAGATTATTAAATATTCTCTAAGAACGAACGTGAACAAGGCATATGGCATGATGCGTGGTGTACTGGACGGGCATGCGTTACTGAAGTGCAAACAGGTAGTATCGCTTAATTAAAGTACAGCGTTTAACGTAAGCCACATATTGACGTGGGGTGGCAACTGTGCGCTGAACAAATGCAGAACATTACATGCAGAAACGGCAAAGTAAATAATCAAATCCCTTCCCCTTGGAAAGCTCTCAACTAGCAAGCGTCAACATACCGCCATTGCAGTCTTCTGGAATTTTGAGTCACTAATTTATAATATCAGGAAATACAGAACTACGCGAGGCCGACTACAACTCACAAAGCTATACTACAGTATAGTTTTGTTTAGTTAAAGTCGGCATTGGAAAATTTTGGGCGCAATTAGGTGGTACAGACGCAGCGCCGACCGAGCGCAGCGTGCTTGTACCGCTTGTACTGCAGCGGTTGTCATGAGCATGACCTACTACACTCCTGACCTGCCCAGAGAGCACCTCTTCCAGCGCCCACGTTCTAGTTCATACCTTCTGCCGCTAGGGCCGTCACCTACGAGCGGCGTGGCGCTAGGCAGCACCTGTTCGCTGTCGTCTGCTTCAGCCATCGCTGTGGCAGTGCAAATCGTTCTTATTGTGCATGAATTGTGTATGAATGTGTAAAATATGGCAAATAAAGCGATATGATTCCTCGTCAGAGTTGGCTGCATTCGTGTGGACGTTTGAAGCAGAAATAGAACCGTAAAAAAAGCACACAAAGGGTCACAGTGGCAAGCAGACGGGAACTTTTCTACAAATGAAGGAAAATTATTATGAAAATATTTCTTGAATGAAAACGTAGTCCAACGAGATAAAAAAACTATTGTTAGGCATTCATTGTTCACACTGAATCACGATGGTTCCAGACGATACGCATACACAAATTGCAGAAGATACGCAGAAACACAGTAGGTCGTGTGCAGAAACTTGCAGACGGCAGATAGCTGCAGTAGTCAGCTCTAATAGTGGCCGCGTGCAGTTTTTTTTTTTTAGATGAGCTGACACCTCAAATGTAAGTATGGTGTATTGCTGCGTGCCATATTGCAAATCGGAACAAGGCAAACAAAGTAAAGTAAGTTTTCACGAGTTTCCTGCCACAGACATACGGGAAGAATGGATCGAGGCAATTGGAAGAAAAGGTGAGTCTTGTGTTTTTGAGAGTCGTTTCAATTCAGAACGAGTTGCAAGCTAGCAAGAAGCACCAGGGTGCTTTAGTAAACTTTATTTCCGTGTGTTATGCTAATTCACTGAGCTAAAAAACATGAAAGCTTTTTTAAAGTACCGCGGCTAATATGGCAGGCTCCACAAATAGTGCCAAGAAATTTAAATATAGCACACAAGAAAAAGTAAATATACGAAATCTGTAAATTATGTAAAAATGCGTAGCGGTGGGTTGCGAGGGGTTCGAGCACCCTTCCCGAAGGCTGCCTCAACAAATGCCGCCGAAATCCATAAAAAATTAATGATATGAAATATTTACGTGCTGCCTCCACAGTTTGTCTCTCTGTGTGTGTGTGTGTGTGTGTGTGTGTGTGTGTGTGTGTGTGTGTGTGTGTGTGTTTAGCGATGGACAACTCTTGAACACTGGGTGTCACTGAAGTTAGCGACCGAATTTGGTCAAATGTATTTCTCATCTCAAACCTCTATCTTCCCATACAGCTTTGTTCGTTTCTGTATAAGCTTACTTAAGGTAATTAGAAACGTTACGCCGGTAACGAAATGTGGCGATTAACTGTTCACTCTATATAGGGCTGGCAGGCGGTCGGGTATAATGACATAATTGAAGTCCTTCGTGCACGTATAGGCAGTTTGTCACAGAAGCAGACGCATGGTATCAGTCCGTCGCCCTCCTGCCGGCCGCACAGTAGCAGACGAACAGGTTATAGGTAGCGCCACCTACGGCGAGCGATTGAACGAGAGCGGGGACACGCGCTCCCATAGGAACCCCGCTATCTGAACAGGTCAGGAGTGTAGTAGGTCATGGTCATGAGTTCATAAAAAAAACGACACGCAACTTTTCACTTTTCATTGTTGCCATGCCAAAACTATGCTCTCGTCAACTTTAAAAAAAACTACTTGCTTTTGTTTTTTTCAAATCAAAATGAAAGTGTTATTTTTTAAATAGCAATTAACTTTTGTAAATATTTTTTTACTTTATAATTAGTTTTTTGTTCATTTATGGTTATGCATTGGGTATGTACTTTGTGTTTTGTTTGTACGCCATGGGGTAAATGCAAATATTCAAGAACACTACAAGTCTTCAAACTGTTTTGAAGTGTATTATATTTTGCGCCATGTGCACAGATTGTTTTATGCTTGAGTATGACGCACGAGCAGCAGCTATCTGAGGATAACACAGTATTCTTGAAAGTCATGTTTCAATCACGACCTACTGTACTCCTGACTTGCCCAGCTGGCGGTGGTCTACGGAGCTGCCTGCGCAGGCAGCTCCGTAGACCACCGCCAGCTGGGCAGGTCAGAAGTACAGTAGGTCGTGCAGAAAACACTGCCTTCAGAACATGTGATTCTTACTTTAAGGCATGCCTTCAAAAAATATTACAACTGAAAATTCATCTATACTTATATAATTTATTATTTCATGAATAGTGTATTAGGCTTTATTATTGCTCATTAATTTTTGGGTTTGGTGCATTGCTGATTTCCGGTTCCGTGCAATGGCGGGACGCGTGCTGTCTTGATGCCTTCGTCGTCGTCGGTACGCGCCTTTGTTCTCGTATTCGAGAGTGACTCTTTCACCGTTATTCTGAGGAGGTAATTCGTACTGATCAGGAGCGATCGGGCGCCGTGTACGATGGAGGAAATAGTAGCCAAAGTAGGAAATGTCGTGTTCGAGCTGGAAGTGGCCCTGGAGCAGCAACTGGGCGCACTGCCGCTACCGTTCCCTGGTATGGACAAGTCCGGAGCAGCCGTGTGCTGCTTTTACGTGCAGGGAAACTGCAGCAAGGCGTCTGCGTGCCCTTTCAGGCACGTTAAGGGTGACAGAACAGTGGTCTGTAAGCACTGGCTGCGAGGTCTCTGCAAGAAAGGCGACCAGTGCGAGTTTCTCCACGAGTTTGACATGACGAAAATGCCGGAGTGTTACTTCTATTCACGTTTCAACGCGTGCAGTAACAAGGAGTGCCCGTTCCTACACATCGATCCCGAAGCGAAAATCAAAGATTGTCCCTGGTACGACCGCGGCTTTTGTCGACACGGCCCAGTCTGTCGCCACCGGCACACCCGGCGCGTCATGTGCGTCAACTACCTTTGCGGATTTTGTCCTGACGGGCCGGAGTGCAAATTCATGCATCCCAAGTTTGACTTGCCCATTCAGGACCCGGCGCAGCAAGCGAAAAAGGCCAACATTGTGTGCCATTACTGTGGTGAGGCAGGGCACAAAGCAATATCCTGCCACAAAATGCCGCCTGAAGTGCGAGAGGAGCAGCAGCACTCTCGCATGCAGTTCCACAACCACTACGGAGGAATGCACCGACGGGATCACGACGACAGTGGAGGCCCTAGCCCGGGAGGACAACGGGGCTTCAGACCGCTGGATCAAGTCACTTGCTACAAGTGTGGAGAGAAAGGACATTATGCCAATAAATGCCCGAAGGGACATTTAGCATTCCTCAGCAGTGCCCTTCAGAACACGCCGAGTGTGTAAATTTGTTCAGAGTATGGCACTAAAGTGTAGATACACACATTGGATGCAGTGCGTGTCCCTGCAACTGATGTTTCTTTGTGTTGCTGTAAGCCCCTCTGTGAGTCTTTCCCAATTCAGTGATCACACAGCTACAGAAACTGGAAGGGCAGTGCGCGTGTTCCCATCACAGTGTCAGTTATTGCGTGTCTGAGTGTAAGATCATAGTTTGGTCTTGATCTAATTTTTCTACATGTTTGTGGTGAAGTCCAAGGTTTATTTGTGGAGGTTTTATAGTACCAGGGGATTACATAATGGATCAAGTTAGGCGCACGGACAAGCTTGTTTATTAGTTGTGTGTGTGCGTGTCCAGCTTGGCTGGTTGATTGACCTGATTGATCTAACATGTGTGCATGTTATATTGCTGGTTTATCATTGCACTCACAGGCCAATTTCAACACTGTTTTGGGATTCCCTTGGGCTAATCATGATTGCTAAGGTTGTCTTAACTGTGTGCACATTGCTTCATTTCAAGTGTTAATAATTCTTATAACTTTGAAATGTGCTGGTTGTAGGGCCACACAGATGAGGATAAGGCCAGGGTGTTATCGGACCTCATATACAGCAAAGGATTTTTTGTTTTACTGCTTCATACATGGGGAAATGCGATACCGCAGAGCTTCGCCAAGGTTGGTTTGTTGTTATTTTTGTTTAATACAAAAATATACACGGCTTTTCTTGCTTTGATGACTTGTTCGCATTTATTCACTTTCTCGTTATAATGTTAGAAGTATGCTTTTACAGATAGGTATGAGTAGCTACAAGTAGTGAGACGTGTGTTTAAGCAAGTTAGTTCATACTGTATGTAAAACAGACTAGCACTATAAAACGGGGACATAGACAAGAGGTGTACAGGATAGCCGCCTGTCCCACATAAAGGACCGAGGGCATTACATAGGGGGGAATAATAGTATACATATATAGAAACTAACACGAACAATGAAGTAATAAAATGTATGAAAAAGTAAATAACAACGTTAAATAATGTACAATATCGCAGAAAATCAATTATGAAGACAAAAGTACACTAAAAAGGAAGGGGTATCAAGAGAACAAGCGAGGCTGAACATTTATATGCTAAACAATGCTGATCATAGTCAAATAAGCGAGTTATACAGTGTGCTAAAAAACCGTTATATAAGCACATGTACATCTGGGTCGGTTGTATTAGGTCATTCATACACCAAGATGAAGCTTTAATTTGTGAGTGAATTCTTCGTGGTTTTTATACAGGACAATACGTTGGGAAGTGATTCCAGTGATTGACAGCAAGAAGTAATGGTGAATGTAAAAACAGGTTTGTTCGGGCAAATAAAGGTTCTAATTTGAATTTGTGGTCCAGACGAGCAAATATTCTATGAGCAGGTTTAATAAGTTAATAAGTGCACACAGTTGCGAATGGTTATGGCAGAGATCGTGAAAAACAGACAGAAGGGAGTACAGTCTGCGTGACTGTAGAGACGGCAAGTTTAAAGATTTTTTAATTTCATTTATGCTACAAGTTCGAGAGTATATCTTTGTTATAAACCGGGCACTTTTGTTTTGAAGAGACTCTATTTTATTTATGAGGTAAACCTGGTGAGGGTTCCATAGTTGGGAAGCATAGTCAAGCTTAGAGCGGACTAGTGTATTGTAAGCTAAAAGTTTAGTATCAGAATTGGCGAAATATAAGTTACGTCTGATGAATCCCAGTGTCTTATAAGCGTTGCTAGTGACAGTGTCAACAGGCAAGTTCCATGATAGGTCACTCGTTAAGTGAACTCCCAAATACTTAAAATTTGAGAACATGTTCAACTTGTTTCTCATTCAATGTGTAGTGATTAGTTATTGGTGTCTGTTTTGTAGTAAATGAAAGGATCTTTGTTGTGCTCACGTTGACTTCCATCTGCCAGTCTTGGCACCAATTACCTAATATGTTAAGATCGTTCTGCAAATTATAAGCATCTTCAATGCTAACCACCTTTCTATATATCACGCAGTCATCGGCGAATAACCTTACCTTAGAAGTCATAGAAGTAGCTATATCATTAATGTAAATTAGAAACAGAATCGGCCCCAGTACAGATCCTTGAGGCACTCCCGATTTGACGTGCGCTAAAGGGGAGTGTTTGTCGTTGACTACAACGGATTGGTACCGGTTAGTTAGGAATTCTGATATCTAATTAAAAACGTGGGTGTTTAAGTTAAGAATGGTAAGCTTTTTCATTAGTCTGGCGGGAGGGACTTTATCGAATGCTTTTTTAAAATCTACAAAAACAGCATCGGTCATGCAAAGCGATATAAATGTCTGTAATTAACTCAAATAATTGTGTCTCGCAAGATCGACCACGCAGGAAGCCGTGTTGGTTGTCAAAAAAGAAATTGTTTTCCACTAAGTAATTCATGACTGCCGATGAAATGATGTGTTCAAGCAGTTTGCTGCAATACTAGTTACGGAGATTGGCCTGTAGTTAATTGGGCTAAAACGGTCTCCAGATTTAAATATAGGTATTACGCGGGCTAGCTTCCAGTCGTCGGGTACACAGCCTGTATCGAGGGACTGTTGGAAAATGGCACTTAACAAAGGACATAATTCTAGCTTTACCGTCTTAAGCATTTTCGGGCATATCTCGTCAGGACCTGGTGCAGAATTTGCAGAAAGGCGATCAATGGCTGCTTCGATGCCTCGCGGAGTGATAAGGACATCTTGCATGCAGGAAGTTAAAGGAATAGCAGGTAGGTTAGGTGGCATTGGACTTTCATCCGTAAACACAGAGCTAAAGAAGTTACCGAATTCTGTCGCGGCGTCTGCCATAGAAAGGAGTTTTCCGTCTTTCGCTATTGATATTATGGCCTTGGAATCGTAACATGGACTCACAACCTTCCAAAATTTTTTACTGTTGCTTTTTAACATGTTTGAAATATCATAGTTATAAAATTTGTATTTTGCTGTTTCGATTTCCATTTTACATATCTGCGCGTGTTCACGATAACGCTTCCAGTCGTCCTCAGATGCTGTCAATTTCGCTCGTGAGTACAATCGTTACTTTTTGTTAATGCAGCGTTTTACGTGAGTCGTGAACCATGTGCTTTGTGTTGATGCGGCTATGGTGACTTTTGGAATGTATTTTCCTCTTAGTGAGATAAGTTCGTCCCGGATAGGTGTCCAGTTTTTGTTTGCATCACGGTCACCAATAGTGTTTAAAAAATAAATAGAAAAAGAAGAGAGTTGGCATGATATAGCATCAATATTTGCTCGTGCGTAGTCGAAGATAGTTTTCTTTTTATCACATGTTTTTTCTCGGAATGTTTCAAATTCACAATGCATGATTTTGTGATCGCTGACATTAACACACGTGTTGCCTGGATCAGTAGTGAGCACGAGATCTAAAATCCATTCGCCGCGTGTGGTTACACAAACCATTTGATTTAAGCTAAACAAAGAAAGTACATCAAGGAAATCCTGACACTCACGTTTTCTTGTGCCACCGAGAGCCACGCATGCCTGCCAGTCAATATTGGGATAATTAAAATCACCAGCCAATACAATTGGTGATAGTGGGAATTGGTTCTGTATTGTATTAAGGGACTCGTTTAGGCACTCTGGGAAGTCGTCTGTTGAATGTGGCGCACGGTAGCAGACTCCGATAGCACAAGTTACAGCGGCAAAGGGGCGGAGTGCAACCCACACAATTTCGAGGCACGTGTCAGTTATAATGACACGCGCGTCCATGTCTGCAGTATAGATAAATTGCCAGTTGTGTAGCTTGCTAATACAAACAAGAAACATCTATGTAGTTCTTTTTTCTTTTTACCTTTTTTTTTCATATGCTGGGGTTTGCATGTTTTCTTTGGTATACACCTATTCGCACTGTCCGCGGCCTATAGGTGGCGCACGAGGTTAACCAACATGGCGGTCCGGAAGATGATGCGAGCGAGTAAGAGGGCATAGAAGCGTCTTGTAGAACTTGTTTTGACAAATGTAATCACGCCAGGCCACTTTCATGACGCGGCATCGAGTTCCACATTGAAATAGATCACAATTACATGCAAAATGAAGGGTAAAAGAGTAGCAATTCGCAAACCAACTGTTTATTTGGTGGCGAAGATGAAACCTCAGCACAAATTGTGTGCATCGATTACTGCTTCGTTTTCCGCTGCACTGACCCGCTTGTGTTAGCAGATGTCGTTTTGGCTTCCCATGAGTAAATGCTGTGGCGATGCACACCATTTGCGGCTGCCATATGCCACACTCAGCCATTTAAACAGCAGCTGCATTGTTTTTATGTACTCAGCTCATGCACTTGGTGTCTTGAAAGACCTCATGGGCAGTTTACAAAGACGAAAGAGGTAGAAATACATCATCTATGTCATACGTGACACTTTGTCGCTCACAAAAACAAATTGCTTCAAGCAGGGATGTTGTGAAGGAATACGGTTATCTATATAATTGGAAGCGTTTGAAACTTGCATCATTTCGACCAGGAGAATACAAAGCTAGGATTTATTTGATTTATCATGAGCATTAAAGGGGCCATGCAACACTTTGAGCATGGTCAAAAAACGCTGCCGATCGGTAGTAGAGGATCCCGACAACACGCGAGCCAAATATTATAGTGCAGCACGCGGCCTGGAATTCACAATAAATTATCAAAATCAGCTAAAAATAGCTTTCTCTTCTCTCGACAAATCACAAAAATAAGCCCAGTAAGCCCATCTATCAGCCATTGGCTGATTTGAACATGGCCCGCTCGGTTGTTACAGAGGTCGCCGCAAGAGGCCGTCACTTGTCCACGTGTGCGCGCACGATCGCACTGAAAAAGCTGCGTATTCGAAGAAACAAAAAGAAAAAAATGCTCAACGTCACGAGGCACGAGTGACATTTTTCGTTTGCCCCTCCCATCCCTCCCTGCTCAGCTTCCAGTGCTTTCGTTGGGACAAGATAAGAGAGAATGTAATTGCAGCGTGTGACAAATCTTTGTAACTCCGCTAGTACTGGACAGATTCTTAAATTTTTGAGGCATTCATTTTGTGGCTGAATACGCTTTTCCAGTGAATTAATTACATGGTTACTCAAAAAAGTGTTTCAGGGCCCCTTTAAGTCCCTAAAACACTGGTGTCCCCAATTTTGTAAGAAAGTTTTTGCAGTCTTGTTAGCAAAGACACATGTTCATTGGGTGAATAGTTAATCAGGAAGCGCTCGGGCGATACTAACATATCGAAGTTTGCCTTAACATTAATACTACAACACATAAGCTTCGATCAAGATGACTTCGTAATATCCTGCAGCTGATTTCTGAATGGTGCTCAGAACAAAAAATTGCACTCAAACAT